GAATGGTTATTTCATACAGTATGCAATCGTTACCTGCTAATCGGAGGAGACGTATTGATGTCAATGGAGTTTCCCTCGTCGACCTTAAGGCAGAAATAGCTCGCCGCCAAAGCGAGGTAAAAGCGAGGGCAACAACCGTCCCAAACGTCGCTGGAGCAGTTTTAAAGCGCGTCGTTGATAGGAATGATGTCGGTCTCCGTCTAAAACGATCTCCATCTCCCGTCCAGAATCTGAAAGGGAGAGTGGGAGATGTTGAAGCGAAAGAGACCACTGAAGAAGATATTGACTGGGAACGAGCTCGACGCAACCTAGAGGCGAAGGCTCGTCTTTATGAGGCTTTAAAACAAGCTGCCGTTACACATAGTAAGGGAGGATACGGTGAGGAAGACAGAGCTCCACTTATTGATTTCGAGCGGAAGGCTGTGGAGGAGAAACGAAGCATCGTCAACTCCAGTGATGAAGATGAGTTTGATGATCGTAACAGACCCTGTGAAGGTTTGTAGCACCTGAATTCGTACCCATTGGTTAGCCCTCTGAAGTTGTTTGAGAATAGTCTTAGAGCCTTCGTATAGTTTATGGGAAATTTTCTCTTGTCTTTCCACATGGAGCTCTTAATACATTTTTGCTCATATCTAACAAACTCCACATAATTTATTTGAGAAGGAACATGTAATATAGTAAGGTTTCCTTATTTCTGTTCCTTTCTATTCCTTTGTGTATCAATTTACACCGTTAAAACTTGTGAACATTAGGTGCTCCAAAGATGAGCTACATTAGTGGTTATGGCTTCGTACCACTGCAAATTTCATACAATTGATTATAATCTTTCACAGATTAGCTCTAATTATATGCAACAGGATGTTGAAATTTTTTGCATAAACCTTTCACTTTATTGGCATTGGAGAAATAATGTGTTTGAGTGTTGTTCAAAGATGACTAATATGTGCAGACACAGGGGAAAATTCTCTGCTTGCTCTTCAGCGAACCCACATTCAACCGCCACAGCTAAACCAGTGAGTATTCCAGAGGGTCCCGTGACGTATGCGCATTTGCGACAGGGCGAGGTTCGTGACCATGGTACGGGTTTCTATGCCTTCTCGGCTGACGCAGATCAACGCGCAGCAGAGCAAGCAGCGTTGCGTGAGTTGCGTCGTCGAACTGAGCGAGCGCGAGAGCGAGTGGAGGAGGAGCGAGCAAGACGCACTGTTGCAATGGGTCGGCGGTTAGCGCAGCTGCGCGCTCGCAAAGGACTTCCGGACGTGGCCACTGCCGCCGCCAGTCTGCTCGAGAAGAACACGACTCCACCGCACTCGTCACCAACATCCCCTTCAACGCCTCCACTTTCCTCCGAGGGCACTGTTGGCGAACAACTGTGCTCCGACGACCTCGATATTGCATCCATGTTACGTCGCCTGCGCGATGAGGCAGAAGTGAAACAGGCGGCAGCTGCTGCAGCAGTCGTTGCCTCTACAGTGACAGGTCCGTCGTCGAAAAATACCAGCCCTCTCCCCGACGTGCTGACTCCGTTGTCAAGGAAACGCTCCACACGGGAATGGGATCGCGGGAAGTCTTTTGTTCCCCTACCGCCTAAAAGTCGTTTCAGTTCGTATAAACACAAACTGAGTGATGAAAGGAATGCGGAGTTTGCACCACCTGAATTCTACAGATAATGCGTTTTGCCTCGTGTGAGTAGAAGCGGTGTTATGTGCAGCCCCTGTACGAGAATTTGAAGTTCGCAAGCTAAAATTCCACTCCCTTCCAACACTGCTTATCTGTGCATCGTGAACAGTCTGGGTGAGGTATCATTGCGGTGCATTGTTCTTATTCAACCGATCTTGGTGCAAAAAAGTGAATTAGTGGTGAATGGTATGTTGGATCATCCTGTGTAGTCGCATCACCAATGTCCAAGACAGCGTTGTTTGTGGAGGCGGTGGAATGTAGGCTGGTTGATGGGCGTTGGGGATGTTGGAATTCTTATCAGAGTTTGTGATGTTTGAAGTGACAGTGGTCACTGCCAGATGGTTGGAGTTGCCAGTGGCCACGGCTTTTACTGGCAGTTGGAGTAGTTTCGAAGCAAGGCATTGTCCTAGTGACGTTTTCTGTGCATTTGGCTGTCGTTGCACAACGAGGAGCGCCATCAACTGACAAACTGCATTCACTGAGCCGTGGTCTTGGTGGTTTTTCGGTTTCGCAGTGAGGTGCTTCAGGGAATGATCGACTGGAAGCCCTTCACAGGTTACTTCCTATGTTTAAGCGCGTGATGTGAGCCAATGTTTGTGTTGTGGTGGACAATGCGTTAGCCATCCCAACGAAAGCTGTCCAACCTTCATGTGCAGGTATTTGTGGGTTGCTTCGATTCGGATAAAAATTCGTCAATTCCGGATCCTCGATCCGACGCACGTGAAAGTCGAGACTTGGGTGCCACACCACTCAGTTGTGGTAATGTGACTATGAGGAATCTCCTTTGAAACTTTTCCTTTCCGACCTAATGAGAGGGAGGTGAATACTTTATAGCCACCTTATTGACCTTTACGCCCATCATCTTGAATCGGAATTGGGCTTGTACCCTGTTGGCCGGGTTTAATTACCGAATACGCCATCATCACACCATACACAAAAAACGCGGCCAATACAGGTCGAATGTGAGAAAGTTTTCCCACAGTTCTTCATCGGACAACATGCCCTTCCCTTTCCCCCTCCTCCCCCACGTTCAGATTCGCATGCCCATTGCGTTCATAAAAGCGGGGCTAATGAGGTCATATGACGTGTTGCTGGGTCCTCAAAGTCAACTTTGTAGTCAAAAGTGTTGGCGTATAAATGCTGCTACACTAATTTTCTCATCATGTCTGACAAAATCTTCTCTTTCTTAAACTTATTAAAGGTATCATTCCAAGTCGACGCCTTTATGACATCTTTCGTTCGTTTGACTCTTCCAGTTACAG